AGGTATTAGTATGAACTTATGACTTAAAAATATATGTATACAAGTGGACACTTTGGTCAACGTTGCTTGAGCAGTAGTTCACCATAATCAGAAGTGTCTGGATGCTGATGATAACCACTTTGAGCACCTCTTGTAATTGCAGAAGTCAAACGTGACTTGCATTCATCTGTTGTTATCAGTATATATTAAGTATTACAATTTTAATAGTTTTTTCCTTTCTTAAAATGTGTATACATGTTTTTGGCACCCTGGTCCCAAGACAAGACAAGGAAGTACAAGGTTAGCCTAGAACATCTTGTTGTGCCAGAACCAAGCAGATATTCAACTAATGGGGGCGTGTCAAAAGGACAGCAGTTTGAATGGGCTACCACCACCAGCCAAATTTGGGACAGTTAAGAATATCAAAAGTAATATCAATAATATAACATACTGAATTTTTAAAAATAATTCATGAGTCCAAAGTGACATTCTTGTTTTTAAAAAGAGAGGGAGGAAAGAAAAAAGAAAGCTCTTTTTTGCAGAACAATGCTAGCTATAAATGTGGAAAAAGTAACAGAATTAGAAAAATCTCCCAATTTTGCAATTACTAAGGAAATACCTGATTCAGGCAAGGATCATCAATAGATGCTAAACCTTTCACTGGGCGAAAGATGGTTGGGAGGAAGAGAGTTACAGAATCTCAAAGTATCAGCCCAATGATTACTTCATTACAGAAGGAAACAGGAACTTTTACTGTGGAGAAAGCTGGTAGACGCCACCTGAACCAAATGATCAAGTTTAATCTCATTAAAAATGAGACAGAAGGACGTTATTGCCTCCCAATGTGATGCATCAAGAGGGCACATCAACAACTCTGTAGTATTCCTGCCCCAAAAGTTTTGACCTGAGTCTGTCTAATCATGAGAAACAATCAGACAAACCCAATTTTGTAGCATTCTAAAATCTAAACTGGCCTGGATTGTTCAAAAGACAAAACAAAAAAAAATTAAAGAGAAGGAATTCTCTAAACTAATGGAGACTAAAGATGGCAACAAAAACCCATGTGTAAACCTTGATTGGACCCTGGTTCAAGAGGGAAACACTACAAAGGACATCACTGGATAACAAAGGACACTTGAATATAGACTCTAAATTAGATTATATTATTGTGTCAATGTGATATTTCAAGGGTGTGATAATGGTGTCGAGGTTATGTAGGAGAAAGTCCCAGTTCTTAGGAAATACATGCTCCAGTGCTTAGGGGTGAAGTGTCATGATATCTGAAACTTGCTTCAAATTGTTTGTAAAGCAAGAAATGATGGAGGCAGAGACACAGACAGAATCAAAGTAAATGTGGCAAATGTTAACAGTGGGTAAATCTGGGTGAAGCTGTATGACTGAACCTTGTACTATTCCTTAAATTTTAGTGTGAACATTTTCAAAATAAAAAATTGAAGAAAAATATGCAATAATGTCAGTCATGAATCATTACACACTGAATGAAAAGAATGCACAAGTCCACAATGATATACAAAGGAAAGGGAGGGGGAAAGAGAAAGTTCTAATAATAGAAAGAATGACAGAATTTTTTTAAATCACCATCTGCAACCCCTATGTAAGAACTAGTATAAGCAAGGATTATCAATGGCTGCTAAGCCATTGGGTGAAAGATGGCTGGGGAAGAGGGGAGTCACAGTTTGAGTGCCACCCGCCACGTTACTTATTAATCACAACAGAGGAAAAGTACTTTGATAATAAGATACCTGGCAGACCAAGTGAGCAAACCTGGCATTTCTGATAATGGGATGGAAGGACATTATGTACCTCCTGACGTGATACACATAGAAGAACACGAGATCATCTACGTTGTGTTGTTGCCAAAATGTTTAATCTTAAAATAAGTATGAAAAAACAATCTGACAAATCCAGATTGTGGGACATTCTCCAAGAGAAATTAATGTCAGAAAGACAAAAATTGGTAAGGGGACTCATCTAAATTAAAAGAGACTTAAGAGACATGCAACTAAATGCAGGAAATGATACTTTAGTGAATTCTGGATTTTAAAATCACAGCAATACAGGACATTTTTAGGACAAGTAGAGGAATTTGAATATAGACTGAATAGTAGATATCACTGTTCAAGGTGAAATTTTTTTAGGTGTTGTGGTTACATAGGAGAATATCTTTGTTGTTAGAAGATACATATTGAAGTATTTAGAAGCGTCTTGTCTGCAACTTACTTTCAAATGGTTCTGCAAAAAAAAATTAGGTAGATAAATAGATAATACAAATGTTACAAAGTATTAACAGCTGGCAGAATCTAGATGAAGTACCTTAGTACAGGCGTTCATTGCAGTGTTCTTCAAACTTTTCTGTAGCTTTGAAATTTTTCAAAATAAATAATTGGGGGAAAATATATATATTTGTATTTGGTAATATATACACAAAGAATCTCTAGTAGGATATCAAGAAAAAAATGACTGTGGCTCCCTAGGGGACAGAGAAACTGAATAGATGTGGAGCATGTGGGAGAATTGTTACTATGTGTCCTTTATATCATCTAATCTAAGACACCATCAATTTTAAGATAGATCATTATTTTATTTACCAAAAGAAAACAAAAAATACTGCCAACTTGTAATTATAAGATGCCAAAAATTTTAAGACGGACATGAAAATGTTTTCAGAAAAATCAAAATGTTCATCTTAAAATCGATGAAATTTGGGACACTTTTTTCAAATTATGAATGATGTAAATGTATTACCTGTTCAAAAAAAAATAAATGAAGAAAAAAAGTCAGGCAGAAGAGGATGAGCTGGCAAAGAACGAGGAGGAGCAGCCAATGAGGCAGGAAGAAAACCAGGAAAGCAAGGTTCCAAAGCCAGGAGCAGACAGTGAACAATATGATCAATGCCACTGAGAAGCCCAGCACAAAAGGGCTGGGATGAAAGTGTTCATTATACTCAGTAACATCGAGTCATCTGTGACCTCAGCAAAAAATACTGTGGTGGTGTGAAAATGGGAGGAGCAGCCAAATTAGACCTATTGTATAACAGGTAAGCTGACAGCAGGTATAGCCAGCTTTTTGAAGGCTGCCTGTGCCTGGGAAGAGACAGGGCGCTACCTAAGTGGGATATGGGATCCAGGAAAAGCCATGGTTGAGGCCTGTAGGTTTAACATGAAAAGAAGCTGGAGAGGTGCAAGCTCCAGGGGAAAGTCCAATTACAATAGGCAGAGGCTAACTGATGGAGCAAACCCTTGGAAAGAGGAGAAGCACAGGTCCAGCGCAAGGAGATGCGACAAGCCCTGATCCTAACAGGTGGGGAGAACACGATGCACGCAGGTGCAGGCAGGCGTAGGGCCTTAGAAAGGACCACAAGTGTCCCATGTATTTGCTTCAATTTTCTCCGTGATATCAGAGACAGGTTGGAGTTGAGAGGGAGAAGGTAAGAGTAGAGGACCCAGCTAAGTCAATGAGCAGTTACAACTCAGCCTGAGACGTGCTTGGGAGATCAAATACAAAAAACTGTGGGAACACCTGTTCTGTCCTGGAGGAACAAAGCAGGGCTTCAGCGATGTGAATCCTGAAGGATAAGTAAGAGTTGACTAGGGAAAAATAGAGTCAGGAAAGCAAGTGTGAAAGTCGAGGAGAGCAACAGCACGGTCTATCCAGGGAAGAGAAAGAAGCAGAGCAAAGATGAAGCTCAAATTGGAAGGAGGGACCTTCCAGGTGGGAGGGGCTGAGTCATCCTGGCCTTGAAGGATCCTTTTGAAATCCTTTTGAGCTTTATCCTCAGAGTCTAGCCAGCCACTGAAGGATTCTATTCTTCTTTTAAAAAACATAGCCTCAAAGGTTTTTTTTTTAATAAAATGAAAATACGTTGCTTTTCAGCTATGTATAAAAATATCTGCAAATTAAAAAAAATTAAATTGCATAATAGAAAATAAAAGTTCTTTGAAAATCCACCTTCTCAGAGGCCAATCCTTGAACAGTTTGACCTTTAGGTTTTTCGTTTGGGGGTTTTTTTCAATGTATGTATATATGACAAAAATGAGATCATTTTATACATGCTGTTTTATAACCAGTTTTTTTCCACTCAACAGTATCTCATGAAAAGTTTTCAGGTCAATGAATATCGGTTATCTCAATCTTTGTAATGACTGGTCAGTGGGGTCAACCATGTCCATGGTCATGGCTGATTTGGCAACTGGGAGAGCACAGCATCAGGGAGTGTGGGGTAGAGGCCAGGCTGCCAAGAAAGGAGGAAAACCCGAGAGAGACAAAGAAGAAACAAGTCTAACACACTAGTCTTTCTAAAAACTTGGCTGGAATTTTAATACACACACATACACACACATACACAATATCAGTGACAACATTGACAAACCAGAAACCAAAGGATGAACAGTAGTCATCTCTTGATAGTGAAATTATAAACTACCTGTTTTCTTCCTTTTTATCTTTATTTTCTAAAAGTTCTACAATGGGCACACATCATTTCGTAGTAAGACAAAATTGCCAGTTTTAAACAGCAGCAACTAGCGGAGGACACAGAGTTAGAAAGGTTTTTCCAGATAGGAGACTTGAGCATATTTAGAGGCTGGTACCAGAGGAGGGGAAATAGCTGATGGGTATTGGTACCTCGGGAGCCAGAAGGGCTGGCATCCACAGCACAGAGCGGCACATCAGACTAGGGGACCTCCTTCTACTGGGATTCAAGAAGTGGGGAGGCATGGGTGTAGTTCCACCTCTCCCACAAACCCCCAACAACCCTTTCCATGAGTCAAGTGTTCAGGGAGACTAGTCCAGTTTAGGATACTCCTCCCATGGAATGGAGTGAGGACCTGATGGGAAAGGGGAAGGGTTTCTAGAACGTAATGGAGGGACAGTTGAGGCTGGAGACCCTGCATGGAAGCAGACCCAAAATGCCCTAATATGTGATGACTCCCCAGAAGCTTTCTCCATTCTGAGCATGAAACCCAGAATTCGGCTTCTGCTGCTGGGTTGGGACACACAGGCAAAGCTGCAGGGTCGCTGAGGACATGGGCTGGAGAATGGTTAAAATCCTGGTCTATGGGGTCCAGGAAGGAAAAAGAAGATGTGGGGCTCATGGTATAGAGAAAATGAAGGTGTCAGAGAACGAGGGGGTCTTTCTGTGAGGTCCCAAAGAAGGTGAAGTAGAAGTTAAGACTGTGGTCAGAGGCATCCAAATGCCTCAGGAGTTGAAGATTTCAGAGGCAGCCACGTGCCAACTATGACCAGACTCTGGTGTGGCTGGTAGAAAGGGTTGCTGTAGGAGACATCACCTCCCATGAGATCATGGGATGTGAAATGGGGGACTGTTGTCCAAAACTAAAGTCTTCCAAGAGAATAAGGAAGAGAGGCAGGGAGAAGGTGGGTAATAACTGGATTATAGGAGCCTTAAAAGAGGTGGCTAGGGCCGGCCGAGTGGCGCGTTGGTTAAGAGCTGGCTTGGGACGCCGGCTCTGAGCAGCAGGGCCCCAGTTCAGATCCCACATGAGGGCTGGTGAAACTGCCCTCTACAGCTAAGATGGTGAACAACAGCTCAACCTGGAGCTGGGCTGCCATGAGTCGCCGGCGACGGCGTAGGCTGCAGCCCCTGCTGCAATGGGCTGCCATAAGCTACTGTGTGTGGCCGGCAGCCAGTGTGAGCAGCCGGCAGCTGATGTGAGCTGCCAAGAGCCACTGTGAGTGGCCGTCCAGAGGCCAGAGACTGATCTGCCTCACCCGGGAAGAGCACAATGATAATACCAACATGGGCCAGTGAAGCGACATCCTCCACAACTAGACTGAAGAACAAAAGAACAGCAACTTGTCTGTTCCCCTTCCCCCGATTCCCCAGCGCTGTTCCCCTCTCCCAATTCACCAATAAAATCTTTAAAAAAAAAGAGTTGGCTTGGGACGCCAGCTCTGAGCAGCAGGGCCCTGGTTCGGATCCCACGAGGGCCAGTGATGCTGTGCCCTCTACAGCTAAGATGGTGAACAACAGCTCAACCTGGAGCTGGGCTGCCATGAGTCGCCGGCGACGGCGTAGGCTGCAGCGGGGTGCTGTGAGCTACCGTGAGTGGCCGGCAGCCAGCATGAGCAGCCTGCAGCCAGCATGAGCTGCCAAGAGTCTCCATGAGTGGCTGCCTGGTGGCCAGCGACCAATCTGCCTCATCTGGGAAGAGCACAATGATAATACCAACATGGACCAGTGAAGCAACGTCCTCCACAACTAGACTGAAGAACAAAAGGACAGCAACTTATCTGTTCCCCTTCCCCAGTTCCCCAATGCTGTTCCCCTTCCCCAATTCCCCAATAAAATCTTTTAAAAAAAATAAAAGAGGTGACTAATCCTGACTCCACCTGACCCTTATCCCTACTCCCAGGCTGTCTCCCAAAGGTGTGCCCAGGGTTACAAAGAAGTCAGTGTGGCAAAGTATGGATGACTCCGTGTGGGAGAAGCCAGAGCTCAGGGCCAGAACACAGGGCAAGGCTGCTTCCTTTGTATATGAAAGTTAGCCTAGAAAGAATTCAGACTTGGAAGGGCTGCAGAGGCTGGGCTCACAGGAATGGAAGGCTCCAGGCTCCTCTGCCCTTATTTCAGAGCTATCCTGTGTGTGTGTGTGTGTGTGTGTGTGTGTGTGTGTGTGTGTGTCAGAGAGAGAGAGAGAGAGAGAGAGAGAGAGAGAGGACGAACACTGGCTCCTGCAAACCAAATTTCTTGACTTCAAAATAGAAGAAGTAGTGATCTGCTCTTCAAATGAGAGTCTTTCACAATGTTGGTGGCGGGGATTGGGGGGGTGCTACATATCTCCCCAAATATGCAGACCTAAGGAAGCACCTCCTTAGTTACCAATAAGATAGCAAATACTAACCTGAATTTTGTTTTTAAAAATCCAGATTATTATTTATTCCATTTCTTACTGTAAACCTGGAAGGACAGAAGCTTCCACAGTGGAGAGAGTGAGGCTGTTGGCAGAGAGAAGGTACTTAAGCCAGGCCTCAGATCAGGCCAGAGACCTGGGGCTGGTTCCAGGGCTCCCTGCTCCACAGCATGAGCCCCTCATCCAAGGCACAGAAGTGGTCATTTTCTTCCTGCATGCCCAGAGCCTATCTAAGATGGAAGTTTACCTCTCTTGCTCTACCTCTGGTCCCCATATCCCACCCCACACCTGAAGTCCCAGGACTATGGATCATGCTCAGAAAGTAGCCCTCTCTTGGCACTGCTGTCACGGTCCTATGACAGCTCTTTGGTAGCCCCTACTGATACAGTGCCTGGCAGTCAAGGTCTTGTGTCAATTAGCTACAAACCTCCTGTCGGCTACCCTTAGCTTCTCTACCACAGGTGGACCTGCTTCCCACACAACCCAGCTTCATGTATGTGATCATGTCTAGCCACCTCTTCTGCTTCTAGTGCCCCTAAACCAGAGCCCTGTCAGCTCCTCTAAGTCCTACTATTTCCTCACATCCCACCTCTCCTGGGAAGCCTTTCCAAACATCCCTGCTGTACATCCCACTGCTTAAATTGGGCACCAAGCAGTCACTCATTTTCATCCAATCTCTTTCTCACTCTCTCACGGATGGGGCTTCCAGGAGGCACCCAACACAGGGCAGAACACAGAGCACTGTCAATCTATGTTCTTGCTTAAGACTTGGATACCCTTCCAAGATGTGGGAGAGGAGCAACTGACGCCCTCCTCCAATTGGGCTAAGCCCACAGCTCTGTCAACCCTGCTGTCCCATACTTCCTCCAGGAAACCTTCGGAGACTCCAGGAAATGCTGTAAAGGAAATGCTGTGGAGAGAGGCAGGGTCAGGGACAGGGAGGTAGAGGGAGTGAGGAGGAACAGAAAAAGGGAGAAGAACTAGGAGGGATGCTCTAAACTAGAACAAGCAGCTTCCTCAGGGAGGTCAGTACTTAATCCTATTAGTTCATCCCTAGAGAAAGGTGCTGGCAAAGAGATGCCCAGAGAGGGGAATGAACTTGTTCAGAAGTGGCCAGCCAGCCAGAGAAAGGATTACAGAAACAGCAACAGAACCCAAGGCCCTATCCAGAGCTCCCCTCCCAGGGCTGCATGGGTTTGGGAGACATAAGAAGTCCCTCTTTCTGTGGCCCATCATTCACCAGAGACAGTCCTCTCTCAGCTCTGCAGACTCTGCTTTTAGGCTCACCAAACCCAGATCAAATCTCAACTAGGAAGACTTGTGTAGCCCCAAACAAAATCTCTCTCCACCAGTCATGTCCCTGCAAGAACCATCTCCTTCTTTCAAAGCCCTGCCCCTTGAAGGCAGAACGGGTACGGCATAGGCTGCAAAATTCTCCAGACTCCCCCAACCCCATGGGCTCAGGCTGGACTCACAGGCCAGGCCCCCCAGCAGCTGTGCTTAACCCCACCTCTGTGCCTTTGGCCATACCATTCCCCAGAAATGCACTCTCTTGCCTCTCCTCCCATCCAAATTTCACCTCCTCTGGAAGGTCTCTGACTCACTGGCTCTTGCCTCCCTTTCTCCTTAGGCGCCTTGTGTCCGCGGGAAAGTCCCTCCCTAACTCCCCATCCAGGAGCTAGGGCATTATCGTTTGGAACCGTCTGAGATGGTGAATTCTCAATCTCTACTTGGTTCCCCCAACCCCCAGATCAGGATCTCCCGGAGGTAGGGACAGGTTCCCAAACACCTCACCTCCATCCTCGTGACCGATTCCTGCCAGCGTTGGAATGAGCTATATCCGGCGCCCCAACACACCACCCCAAAGCCTGGGTGGATCCCAGGCTCAAGCCAGCGCACCCATCCCCAAAATCCTGAGGCGGCTCAGACCCGCTGTCCAAAGCTCCGCTGCCCCAGGGAGGAGGAAGCGGGGGCGTGGGAGGAGGGTAACAACCTGGGTCCACCCCAGGCTCCTCTGTTAAGAAGGACCCAAAGAAGGCCACAGTTACCCCGCCTCCAATCGCCCCCATCCCCAGCCGCGTGCGCCACCCCTAGGAAGAGGAGGCCAATTTCCAGGGAACGCCAGGTGGGGCTTGGGGGATGGAGGACCCAAGGCCCAGGCTTCAGAATCCAGGGGTCTGACGTCACCCAAGACATGGGTTCCCTCTGAGGGAGCTGGGGATGGGGACGGGGATTGAGGGATGGGGGTTGTTGGGGGGCCCGAAGGCACCCGGGGAGCTCTTCCCCGCTCCAAACAGGGAAGGTCACCTCGACTCTCCACCTCTTCAGCAGCTCAGCCTGCCCCCTGCATCCAAAGGTGAAGCATCACGGGCACGAAGCAGGATAGGGTAATCCCCCTCTCGCCCTGCGCCCAGCTTTCCTGCAAAGCCCTTCTCGAGCTTTTTGTCCCAGTACTCACCCCGCTACTGTCGCTCAGCTGCCGAAAGGCCGCGCGGCGCTGCGCTGCGCTGCACCCGGCTATGCGGCGCGGAGCCGGCCGCGAGCCGCGAGCCACTCGGGGGCTGGGGGCGGGGAGCGCGCGCTGCTCCTCGCACGCCCGCGCCACCCCTGCCAGCACCAGCCGCTCTCGCGAGATTCCCGCGCCACCTCTAGGGCCGTTCTTCCTGCGCTGGCGAGAAGGAAGGCCAGGCCACCCCGGCACCTTCCAGGAGCTGTCCGAGGTGCTAAGTTCTGGCCCGGACCCGATCTGGTGGCGGGCGGCACCGCGAAAATAGAGTAAGGCAGCGAAAACGTGGAGGAAGGAGCCTACATCAGCAGCCAGAGCCTCAGCTTCTAAATGTGTAAACTGGGGAGAATAACCTCCCATGCCGGTCCCAGTGGCCTCTGGGATTTACCAGAAAGAAGGAGTGAGAAAGAGCTTTGTGAGCAGGAGAGCATGGTGATTGATGAGGGTCCTTGAGCTCCACAGGCCCAAAATGACAGAGAGGGGATGGAGGATGGAAGATCGCGGACGAGACATGAAGAGACAGAGACGAGATGTAGAGAGACATAAATACAAAGATCCATGGAAAGGTAGACATAGAAAGACAAGAGAGGAGAGCCATCAACATACAGGCATTGAAGCATGGAGAGACAGAGATACAGAAACATGAAGAGATCAAGATTTGAAGAGAAAGAAGACATGGAAAGAGAGAGAGAGCAGAGAGAACACAGGGCCGGCTGAGTTGTGCGTTGGTTAAGAGTTGTCTTGGAACACCAGCTCTGAGCAGCAGGGCCCTGGTTTGGATCCCACATGAGGGCCAGTGACGCTGCGCCCTCTACAGCTAAGATGGTGAAGGACAGCTCGACCTGGAGCTGGGCTGCCGTGATTCGCCAGCGACGGTGTAGGCTACAGGCCCTGCTGCAGTGGAGCTGCAGTGGGCTACTGTGAGTGGCCCGCAGCTGGTGTGAGCTGCCATGAGCTGCTGTAAGCGGCCGTCCAATGGCAGGTGACCGATCTACCTCACCCGGGAAGAACACAATGATAATACCAACATGGGCCAGTGAAGCAACATCCTCCATAACTAGACTGAAGAACAAAAGGACAGCAACTTGTCTGTTCCCCTTCCCTGATTCCCCAACGCTGTTCCCCTCCCTCAATTCCTGAATTAAAAAAAAAAAAAAAGGACAGAGAACATGATGAAGTGAGAAAGAAATAGGGGCAGGCAAGCTACAAAAGGAATAGAAAGGGGGTTAGAAACACAAAGAGACAGAAAAAAAATGAAAGAGACTGATATGCAGAGATGAACACCTAAAAAGAATAGAGACCAGGGTAAATGTTGAAAAACCCAGAACTAATTATGGTTGACAAATACCCACTTGGGGAGATGGGACTGGGAGTGAAAGACAGGCTTTTATTGTGAGTGGTGTTTACAGTGTAAACCTCCTGTGGGATCTCTCTAGCCAGAGCCAGCCTCTGTCCGGCCAGCCAATGGCTCCTGCCCTCTGCAGTGCCCTCCACAGTGCCCTCCACCCACACCATCCTGGGCCTGGAAGGGGGCCTCCGTGGGTGGGAGACACTGCAGGGATTCTTTGCCCAGAATAAGGGCCCATTGTCTGGCTCCAGCCTGCTGGGAGTGGAGCCTCATTCCCACAGCTGGGATAGAAAGGGGGCAGGAGTGAAGAAAGGCAGACAAGAACTGAGGGAGAGGGAAGAAAAAGGAGGGGGCCTCAGAGGCTGTGGAAAATTAAGCAGGAAGCATAATCTAGCCACCAGGCCAATCGGAAGGGAAGTGTCCTGGGCTATGGGCAGGACTATAAGGTTCTGATGTTGATCCCATCCTGTCCCTGGTTCACCTGCATGGTCACTGTTCTCTATCCCTGCTATAATGCAAGCTTTGTCCTATTTACAGAGCTGCGGGGTGGACCCAATGAAATGATGAATGAGAACTGAGGAGGTTATCAAACAGGGCTCCTACAGTAGGCATGTTGGAAATCCATGTGGGCCTCAAGAAAGATAGAAAACTTCACATGAGCCTTCAGGAGAGGAGTCTGAGGTCCACATTGAAGTCTACAGGGGAGATTTTTGGGGTCCACATGGAATTTACAAGAGCTATCTTGTGGTTCACGTGGCTCCTACAAGAGAAATGTTTGTGTTCCCATCTGATGACCACAGATGATATTTCCCCAATCAGGAGAATCAGAAGGACCGCCTATTTGGCTAACAACCAAGGCAGGAAAAGTGCCCAGGTCCAAAGTCAGAAGCCCATCTTTGTCCCAGTGTATTGCACCTTCAGGGCTCAGATGAATAGAAGGGAACAATGCTTCAGTAGTGACAATCATTTAAACAAGCTTTTATTCAACAAGTATTTGCTGATCACCTACTAAGAGAAACAGCATAGTGCAGTGGTTAAGAATATGGACCTAGAAGGCAGGCTGCCTGACCTGTCCCAGTTCTATAAGTTTGAGCAAGGTCTTCAGTCTTATTGAACCTTCATTTTCCACATAAGTAGTATACGGATGATGATAATAGGACCTGTGTCTTAGTGTTCCTGTGAGAATGAAATGAATTAACATGTGTAGACATGTGTTACACATGGGACGGTGGCTGGTACACAATACATGCTTAATAAGTGCTAGTTCATATGGTGTGCCAGGCTCTGGGGACATGTTTTTCTCATGGTGGAGGGTGAGAGTGAAAGAGCCTGAGTCAGATCATACAATAACACATTTCAAGCTTCTCCTCAAATGTGGTGTCACATCAGTTCTTATGCCATTCACCAAAGCAGGTTTTATGACTAATACACAAGTGACAGGGAAATATGCTCCCTCTAGAGCAGTGGTTCTCAACCTTTCACAGAGTCGCCTAAGACCATTGGAAAACACATATTTTCGATGGTCTTAGGAACCGAGACACCGCTCCTCTATCCATCTCTAGGCCCACATGCAGATACGCCCACATAGAGTACCCGGCGACCCCTGTGAAAGGGTCATTTGACCCCCAAAGTGGTCGCGACCCACAGGTTGAGAACCACTGCTCTAGAGGATGCAAGGCATGACAGTGGGGATGTTTAATCCTGCTGCAGGGAGGGAGCAAGTAACCGGGAGCAATCATCCAGGCACCCACGGGGCCAGCTCCAGGCTGCTTGTCTTTTCCGGCCTAGCTATGGCTGAATGAGGCATGTCCACCCAAAGGGCTCTGGGAGAATATCTATGTTACAGGCCAGGAAACAACTGAAAAGAAAAGAGGACTAGCATTTACTGAACCCTTAATACGTCTGAGATGCTAAGCCTCATGACTATCCTATGAATAAGTGTTTTTATCCCCATTTTGTAAATGAAGAAAGTGAGGTTCAAAAAGGTAAAGTGATCTGCCTGCCCAAGGAAACAGAATGGATATTTCTTAGAAATGGAAGAACCAGGGCCGGCCGAGTGGCGCGATGGTTAAGAACTCGTTTGGGATGCCAGAGGGCCCCAGTTCGGATCCCACATATGAGGGCCAGTGACACTGCCCTCTACAGCTAAGATGCTGAACAACAGCTCAACCTGGAGCTGGGCTGCCGTGAGTCGCCGGCGACGGCGTAGGCTGCAGTCCCTGTGGCAATGGGTTGCCATGGGCTACAGTGAGTAGCCAGCAGCCAGCGTGAGCGGCCAGCAGCCACAGTGAGCAGCCGTCCAGAAGCCAGCGACTGATCTGCCTCGCCAGGGAAGAGTGCAATGATGGTGCCAACTTGGGCCAGTGAAGCAGCGTCCTCCACAACTAGATTGAAGAACAAAACGACAGTAACTTGTCTGTTCCCCTTCCCCCAATTCCCCAGCACTGTTCCCATCCCCCCAATTCCCCAATAAAAATCTTTAAAAAAAAAAAGAAATGGAAGAACCAGTATCTTTAGGTTGGGTTTCCCCGGAAGCAGACACTGAGATAAGGATGTAAATACAAATGGTCTATTTGAGAGATGATCACAGGAAGCATTAGTAGAGGAGTGGAAGAAGTTGAAACAAAGAAATGAAAAGAAACTAATTCAGGGTGCAATAACAACTGTGAGCAATGGGGACTCATCTTGCTGGGGTCCTCTGGGACACAGTGCAGAATACAACACAAGTGTCCCACCAAACAATTGAGGAAACTAAGGTTTGAGGGCTGCTCTTAGCACTTCCAGATTCCCCTGTGTGCCTTCTGAGCAGAGAGAGCTCTCAGGCAGAAAAATCCCAGGGGCTTACAGTACGAACCATCAGAAATGGCTAAGGGAGCATGGGAAGATGCTATGTAGATGTTATGTAGTAGCATCTACTACAACCAAGATCTAAACCCAAACCTTGTCTGACTTTCAAGCCACATCATGCTGCCTCCAAGGTAACCAGTTAGTCCTGTGGAAATTTGCAATGTGGAATCTCCTTTCTTAAGAAAGAGCCTCCTGCTCCCCCTACCCCATGCCATGCTCCAGGCCTTGTGAAATGGCACGTCCCTGATACTTCATGTGTATACGTGCTGCACAGCAATGTCAGAGCAGCTCATCCAGTGCACTCAGTACACGGGTGGGCACCCTGAAGCTCAGAAAGTTCATGCTAGACCTCCCCATTCAGTGCCTCTACCCTGCACACCTCTTTCCCCACCCACCCACTCCCTGTGTTTGTCTTCTCTCCCCAACTAGATAGTAACCTCCCCAAGGCAACCAATAGAATGGGAGAAAATATTTGTAAATCACATATCTGATCAAAGACTAGCATCTAGAATATATGAAGAATTCCTACAACACAATAATGAAAAGACAAATAACCCATTTTAAAAGTGGGCAAGGGATCTGAATAGGAATTTCTCCAAAGATCTACAGATGGCTGATAAGCACATGAAAACATGCTCAACATCATTAGTCATCAGAGAAATGCAAATCAAAACCACAAAGAGATTCTGTGTGAAGGGTGAAAAGGATAACTATTGCATTGTTCTATACACCTGAAACTAACAATAAAAAAAGTTTTTTAAAAATAAAAAATTGTGCCCAACGCACTGACAGCACTGGGTAAATAGCAGCCATTGTAGTATCTAGAGCCAGAGTGGGGTACCCCAAACACGGCAGACCCCAAATAAACTACCCATTGATTAAAAAAAAATTTTTTTAATAAATAAACATTACTTTATCTGAAAAAAAACCACAATGAGATGCCACTTCACATCCATGAGAATGGCTATAATAAAATAAGACAGGTAATAATAAGTATTGACAGGGCTGTGGAGGAATTGGAACCCTCATATACTGCTGGTGGGGATGTAAATGGTGCAGCCACTTTAGAAAACACTTTGGCAGCTCCTCAAAAAGTTAAACATATAGTTCCAGTTGGACCTAGCCATTCTATTGGGTCGTCGGGAAAGTTATGATGCATTTTTGCCTTGAAAAATAGAAAAATACATCATGGGTTTCCCGATGACCCAATACTTCTAGGTACATACACAAGAGAAATAAAAACATGTTCAGCGCCAGCCGAGTGGCTCAGTTGGTTAAGAGTTGGCTTAAGAGCGTGAGCTCTGAACAACAGGGCTGCCGGTTCGATTCCCACATGGGCCAGTGACGCTGCGCCCGAGCTGAGTTGTCGCTGAGCTGCCAACAGGTGGCAGGATGGCTCAGCTGGTGTAACAACAAGATTGTCTGTTCAATGGTGTGCCATGCTCACCCACAACTAAGACA